TCCTCTCCTCCCTTATCTTAGGCCACCATTTGCTTAGGGGTTCCCAAATAGCCCCCTCCACAGATGAAACCCACGCTGTCCCCCCACCACCAAACAGGTGGTATATAGCCCAGATCCTAGTAAGAAGCCCAAGGCATAACATTAGTTCTAAAATGGAAATAAGCATATATGGACAAAGTAGTTGGGCATGAGTAGGATATTAAAGGTCTCCAAAGATCAGTGAAGACCCAGGTTTTCTTTTTTTTTTTAAAACCCCACAGCAGGATAGTACTTATATTCACAAGTGCTACTCAGCTGCAGAGTTAATTAGTTTCCTGCAGCCTAATAGGGCCATATGTGTAGACTGGAGATGGTTACTATGGAGCTAATTAGTCTATTCCACAGTAAATAACTCATGTAGACATGCCCAGCATAAACAAAAGGGCAGGGAATGCAACACACCAAATGCCTTCAGAGAAGTGCTGAGCAGCCTAATTGTATCTGGGTCTACTCATAGTTTTTTTTTTTCCATTCAATGCCAAAGCTCCCTTGAGTTCAATGGAAATAATTAAGCTCACTGACCTCAATGGCTGTTAAAATAACTCAGCAACAGCTCTTGAAGCTCCAAATGTCTCTTGCACCACTCCCTCATATGGGACAATATTCCCTTTTGCATCTTTCCTTAGCCAGTCACTGAGATGTGCTTTTAAACTGCCCATTGTTATGTTTACTACTGAGATGGCTGTTGTGAAATTTTTAACTTTCCCACTGGCTTATAAACCATGCCTTGGGGGCAACTTAATACTGTTATACAATACCTCTGCATCCTGTCATTAACTGAGAAGTTATGATGTTTTTCTTACTGACCTTCAACAAATTTTCTAATGTTCTGTGCAAGATTTTGGACGCTGCTGGGAAGGTTCCAGGGGTCTTGCTTGATGTGAAGTCGTAACCTCTTTGGACAACTAAGTTTAGGTTCCATTTCCTGCTGAAACTCTACAGAGACAGAAAATACCTCTTCAGTTTAAGCATCCTTAGAAACCATCTTTAAGATACTATTTCTTTCCAGGTTGATTTTCCTAACTTAAGTAATAAAGCTTCTGATTGACAAAAACTGTTTGTTGACTGCTGATAGCTATAGTTATTTGTATCATTTTCTTTACTTGATTGCTCGATGTTGGCTTATTTTAAATTGATATAGGAATTCTGAATCATGAATGATTTCAAATACACATTTCATATTTCAAGACTTTCATGAATGCTCCAGAGTGGATATGAGTTTTCTCAATAGATGATTGTCAGTCTCACTCCCAGGTAGCAATTTGTTCGATGCAATCTGGCTACTCTATTATCAAGTGGCCAGGCTCTATAAGAATACCTACGTCTAGAAGCCAGCTTGGAAGAGCTGATTGTGTGTCCATTCCTTCCATAGTATATAACAAATTCATTTACAATGAAATAAAATCTGGAGAAATAACTCTGGAGTAGAGCTGCTGTGTGCCCACACCCATCAACTCAAATCATTAAAAGTGCTACTGATGGAAATAACATCATAAATAATGAAGGTGGAATATATATTCCCTTTTATTTTATTTTCATTCTAAATCACCTTCATGTTCATTTCATCATACAATTCATGTTATGGAGTTATCTGCACATTTATTATATACAAGTATATAAAAGTATATTCGCCTTGGAGATATTTCTGGGTATTCAATCTGAAAGCAGTGAAAATACTGTTAAGTATAAATGATTGGTGAGTTCTATTCACTTGTATATATAAAAAAAATGTCCTGCCATCACAGTATTAACTTTTGAGCAGATTAATTGTAGGACAGGTGAAGGGGAAAGGCATGATGGCCAGAACAAGTCCGTGAATACTACTGAAAGATAAGACCTGTCCACTTGTACCCACTCAGTGCACATAAGCAGAACCCCCTAGTCATTTGGGGCTGGAAAGCTTAGAAAGCACACTCAAGGCCATTCAGGCAAATATTGCCTAATCTGAATTGGACATGCCTTCTATTTCTTGTCAGCACTCCTCATCTTGCTCTAGAAGCTGTACAGTTATAGCTGCAGAGTCAGGTAATCAGTATACAGTAATGTAGCTCTATTCATTTCAAAGCAGTTATGCAGATTAACAAAAACTAAGAATCCGGTCCACTGCCTATAATTTTGTTTGGTGAAAGTTATATATATATAGTTGCTAACTCATAATCCAAACCAACATTCAATAAAATTCTTTCTATTTTTCTCTCTGATAAACACAGCCTTCCAAGAACATGTTTTTTGTTTAAGTATAATTATCTTGTAAAGTGAACACTTAGTCTCCAGTCCTACAAATATTTTCATACCTGCTTAATTATAAAGTCTATGTGGTGCTTACTAGGGCTCTGCAAAGCTTCAGCAGTTTATTCGATTTGGAGATTTGGACCAAATCTCTAAATCTGAATTGAATCAGGAGACCAATTAAAAGCTCCAAATTGATTTGAAGAATCCAAATTGATTCAGAAAAGCTTTGGAAAAGATTCAGCCATTTTGGAGATTTGGTCATAGACTAAACAAGCAGCTGACCCAGCTGCCTCCAGCCAGTAAATGTA